ATACTTTTTGTGTCACACCAAAATTTATTGCTAAATGCTAATTTTGGCATTAAACACTTTGGTATATCTCGTCTTATTGTCTTTTTACGTTGAAATATTCGAATATTTCACAAATGCACACAAATTATTATCTAAAAAGGATTCGATTCGGGAGAGAGAAGTTGAGAAAACGAAACCAATTTATTTTATTTGTTTTGTTGTGTTATTCGGTCAATTTTTATCAAGGCATTTGTCACCAATGTGTCGATAAACGAAAAGTGATTTGTGCGCATTATTTCTTTGCATATATGCGAAATATTTGCAACACCAATGACAAATCGATGCATAAAATTACAATTTTAGTTCAATTTTTTTTTAAACAAAGAAGTATATCGGAATTTCCAAAATGTTGATGATTCGCTGACTCATAAAAATATTTGTATCGAATATTTTACAGACGGTGGAATTTTAAGAATTTTTTCAAATTATAGTTTCAAATTTATTACAATGAGTATGGGATTCACCATGCAAGTGCAAGTCATTTTAAAAAAACCGAGAATGATTCAAGAAATTTGGGCTTGGGAATTACAATCGCAAATTGCTACCGCATCTATTTGCAATGTGTGCATGTCATTACAAATGTCATTTGTAATCGGTATGAAAGTAAATCACCGTGAACAAGGTCTACGTACAAATATAAACGAATACGTTGCATGAATGTTAATTATCAATTTGCATCTTTAACAGTCATAATTTTCGGTTGAAATTGTTGCATTTACAATTGACTTTTCCGAAAGGATTTGCAAAGTAATGTATGTTTGGGATTGTTTTTTTTATTCTCTTCTTAATTCGAATACGTAATGTTTCGCTGTAGGCAAAATGAATGTGCTGTTCACAACAAAGAATCGTCTATGAATTAAAAAAAAATCTGCATTGAATATGTGTAACACGTGAAAAACGTTTTCATAAAAATTGTTTCATCATAATAACAATATATAAATATATAGTGTATGAAAGAGCCTTTGCGCACACCAACCGGCTAAGCCTATGAAGAGACAAAATGCGAATTCCCCTCATCTGTGCCATCTTCTATTCCATAGTTGAACTCAATTTAGTTACAATGAATTGAATCGAAAAAGAGAAAAAAACAACAACAGTAACATGGCTACATAGATCTGTTGACCAGTGAGATACGTATAGCAATGGAATGAAAGAATGAAGAAAGCGTATATGTGTATGTATGCATCAGCACGCATAGATGTACAGCTCTGTGTGGCCGTGCTATTGTTGTTGTTTTTTCACTTTTTCATTTCAATGCTACAGAATTAAATTCAGTTTTTGCATCTAATTCACACTAAAATCAGATGGCGCTCATTAGCGAGATTCGCAAAAAAAAGTCTCCAATCTCATACAAATATACACCGGCTGGCGCACACACAGTCGAAAGTCTCTGATGAATGATCAATTTACGTTGATTTATCTCTGTACGTAAATTAATGTTTTCACATTAATAGAAATAGTGACTTGACACATGTATACCGAACGAAGTGAGAGATTGAGAGGGAAAACACACATGTTGAATTTATATTCGTTGCTCATGCGAGCAAACACAATAATTACGATCATAAACTCAGCGAATTAAATGCATGATTACGATGAAAATCTGTAACAGTTTTAGCATATAAAACACACATTATTAGTTTAATAAAAGAATTTCGTTGGAATGGCACGGAAAATCGATTTTGTTCTTGTTGTTGTTGTCTTGAAGAAGTTAGACCAAACCATATCGATATCAAATGGTCCGCAATTTTATGCAACTGTTGAACAAGAAACCGTTTCATTCTTTGCAATGTCTTGCCATTGATGAATTCGCATCGGCAGTAAATTGATATGTTAATGTCAACACTAATGGTGTCACTTGTATGGATCTGTGGTAAACTATAAATCTCTATCAGTCTTTCGTTCTCTATGTGTGTTCAAAGGTATCATTTTGCTACTCAAATCCTCGACAATATATATGTTTTATGCATGGCTCGAGGTCTGGCATCCTTGAAGCCTGCTCTTTCCCTTTGTAGATGTTGTTTGAACAATCGCCGACCTTAGCAACAAAAAAAAAAACTCAAAACTATTCAATATTTTTAGAGAAATAAAACTCCAGTTAACCTTCGTATTGCTCTCTCATTGTTCGGCCTCATGATAAGAGAGGATATCAATGAATACCTTTCTGAATGTTTGTTGTGATGAAAAGTAAACCGCGCCACATACACATATACTCACATCAAATCTCCGATCATAATTAAATTATAGTGAAAAATTGGCATGTTTTTTCAAATAAAGTGGCTCGAGCTTTTACTTTTTGTTTTCGGTTTCCATCGTTGGTTGTAAAGTCAATCTACGTTGAACGCATGCGAAAGGATTATGGTTTACAATTATGACAAGTGAAACAAAACAACAACAAAAGTGCAACGAGTCTCCTTTCACTTGTATGATATTGTTTCATATATTCTCTTCAAAATATATGACCAAATTTAAAGTGAGCACTCGATTTTTCTGCGCACACATACACACCAAACATTGTGATTAAATTTCATTTGTGTTTGTGAATTTACACTTCGACTCTGAATTATAATTTTATGGATATCTCATATTATTGGCATATTTTGAAACTATTAAAAAAATCCAAAATAAGCACAAGTATATTATACGAAAACAAAATGCATTTAATTTGACTTTTATCGACATCAATTAAAAGCCCTTGGCCTCAACCATGCGCAACATTTCAAACGTACAGTTATTATGTGCGCTGCTCAAACACTTAAAACGAAATACAAACACTTCGATAATCATACGATATAGAATTCTATTTGTTCAACATGACTTTTTCTTCTCTTTTTATTTTCGTTACAGATTCGGCTGACCAGGGAAGAGAGTGCAAAACAAAACTGCAACTTCCATTTACAAACGAATGCATTGAAAATACAACAATTTTCAGGCGACTTTTTAATCGTCACATTTTATTGGCCGTGATTATCATCATCCACATCGGCCAATAAACGGGACTCAATACATGCAATGCATTAACCTTGTGCACATCAATTCTTTTTTTAATATTTTTTTTTTTGGTTTAAATATTCGTTTTGTGCGCGCAAATGTGACCGTGGAACAGTTTCCAGTTAATCAAATGGACAAAGTTTGATAAAGAAAAACGGCAAAAGCAAAGAATATAAAAATTATTGTGATATGTGCCCATCTCTTGCTCAATAAAATATAAAATTTAATGAATTAATGTGGTGCCATTTTCGAAGCAGTTCGGTTTTTGTAATAAAAATTCAACCAATACACACACATTCAGGACAATTAAATAAAAAATAACAATGATTTTGTCAGACGGTACAAATGATACACGAAAAATCATCGAACATTATATGATTGCTTACCGATTTAAAGTGATATCACATCACATTCAAGTGGAACACTAATTAAATACTACAGACTCACACACATACACAATTAAACAAAAAAAAAACAGAAGCGAACACGCTGTCGCACAGCCACACGAACAAAATATAAACATTTAGAATGTAATTCATTCAGCTAATTTGTCAAACTATTAGTTCCGTCCAATTTTAATTTAGTTCAACTAACAAATAATCACTTATTTTTCGTCGATATAAATCTACACCTTTTTTTACAAATCGCACAAACGTTTTAATCACTAAATCTTTGTTTTTTTTTTTAATTAAATTAGTGTTTATTTTAAACAAATATATCCGAGTCTATACAACGAAATAGTTTTTATGTGAGAAAAGAAACAAAAAAGATATTATTTTTTATATAATTTTTTTTATACAAATATCAATTATCCTTCTATACTTAATAATCGCGTGCATACAAATGAGATTTTATTTCATTTAAACGAAAGAAGAAAAAAACGAAAATAAAGTAAATTGTTTGCCAATAAATCTACGGATATACCATAATCTCTATCTAATCGCCATAAGAATGAAATGTTTACTAAGGTAAACGAAAATAAAAATCGTGTTAAATATATCGAAAGCAGGAAAAAAGTGCAAATTTCTTATAGTAATAAACAAAATTTACCATATTAAAGAACAATAATCATAATAATAATAAACATAATGTGTAGAGAAGAACATTGATCTAGATAAACAAACGAATAATTTGTGTGATACAAACCCGCCGTTTTAAATATATATATATATATATATTGTGTGCCAATAAGCTTCCAAGAAGTAAGAGAAACTCTTGCAAAGTTGCAACAAAGCTTAGTTTAAATTTGATTATTCATATCGTTGATTCTTTTTTTTTTCGTTTCGTGTATATTTCTGCTGGCGTCAATTTAATAATATAAAAAGTGCCTTTTCTGTGTAAATGAACAAGTAAATTAGTGTTTATTGGAGGCAAATCTACACGAAGGAACTGTGGTGTGTGATATTTTTTTGCGATCAAAAGATCTGTGTAAAAGAAAGAACCGCATTTACGCATGTAATAACTATAATAACGTTGGAAAAATCTACGTCCACATACGCAAAAAATAAAATAAAAAAATACAGCCAGTTGAGTAATCTCAACGAATATTAACGTTGCCATAACACTCGAAATCGATCGATAAATAATCTGATTTTTCCATCGAATACCACTGATTTTGGTTTTCTTCAATCACACCCGTAAAAAATCTAAATGAACCAAAAGAACTGATATTAACACGTTTCGATGGAATTTTAATGTGTTAATATTACATACAATATATATAATCGAAGGTGTATGTGTTTGAGTGTAAATATATCATCGGGTGTTTTGAGAAAAATCCACGGGGACACATTCACGTTTAACGAGATAGTGAGAGACTTCGTTTGTAAGTGCGCGCAAATTAAATGAATTCATAATTCATAAGTTAATTTGAGTTATTGCGGAACAAAAATAAATAAAGAGAGAGTGAGAGAGAGAGAAAAAGCATACACACGATCACGTTGGAACAGTGAGTACAGCAATTGAATATATCGGCAAAAATTGTATGTGCCCCAAAACACTTGCACAACACTCTATCAACTGTTCATTCAGTTTCTCTATACATCGTTCATTTGCTCATTCGTTTTCGCTTAAGTATTGATTTATCTCACTCTCATCGAACTTCTTACGTATTCTATTCGCTGGCGTTTTTCATCCAATATCATTATTATAGCCACAAAATCGTTTTTTCGTTCAAATCGCCATTCAATAAAACGAAACTGTTTATATCGATTATTTTATATGCGAAATAACCAACGGCTATGTAGATATGTTTTGAATAAATGCGAATTGATGTGTATGTAATATTTTGTATGCTGCTCTTTAACTATTGGCAAAAGACACATGAGCAAAAACATACAGGCATACTGAGACAGAGAGTAATTTGAAATCGACATAAAAATAAAATAAAATAAATCGAAAACCGTGCAACATCATCAACACCAAAAACCCAAAACGAAGTGCAAAAAGAATTTCAAACGTAACGAAACGAAAAATCGTCATTTTTGCTTCACAACAGATATTTAAGAGATATATGTATAATAAATGCAAAGTGCATTCTGCTTTTACTATACATACATACGCGCGCGTACATACACACACGCACACACGCTCACACAAAGGAAAAACTATTGCGATGCGTGTTAAATGTTGTTCATCTGTGTGTCGTTTGCATCAGTTTTCATTATAAATCGAAACTCAACGGCGAATGTGAAAATAATTTAATAAATGCATGTACTTAAATGTGCATTAGCGCAAGTATTAATTTGTAATATGCATATCTTGCAATGATATGATCGAGAGCAAATTTGCATTGGCTTACAGCAGTAACAAGCATTAGCTAAAAGCAGAAGAAGAAGAAAAAACGAAGCAAATCCAGCATATTACAATCATCCTACACACAAAACGGACACAACGACACAGACTATATGCATATCAAAAGCGTTTCGAACGAGAAAACAGAAGCAATTATAACTTAGTTATTTTTTTCTTGTTTGATTTCACCGTAGAACGAATGCCAAACAACCACACATTCGATAAACTACTTTGATGAAAAAAAAAATAAATAAATCTTTAAGGTAGGCAAACCCATAAGTTCACATCGCCATTCACATTCATATTCATATACAAATTCTTGCATCTTCACCCAATTACACACACACATATTTACACGTCATTTGATCAGATTTCAGTACAAATTAAAATCCACTTTATCTAAAGATATTTATTATTGCGCCGTTCACAGGGAGCCTATCGACAAGGAGAACAACGAAATAAAACGAAAAAATTAATTAATAAACGTGACAAATAATTAAATGAAGTGTGCGCGTTCGTTCTGCACACATTTACACACGCGTGCATTCAAACTATAATTTTCATTTCCATTCCTTGTTTTCATGCTATGAAAAAAGAATTCATTTTTGGCATCAAATAAATAAATATTATAAGGCGGTCTCATCGACTTCAAATTTATCACTCGATTATACGCCTATTCCACTGAATTTTATTATAAAAGCTCCAAACGGAAAAACGAACGAAAACAAAAAAAAAATAAAACATGTCTACATCACCAGATACAGTATCTGCACATCAGCAACAACAAATCATTCAGTCTGCTGGCGGTGAAGATTTAAGTACGTATTGCAATTGCTTCATTTCTTATCGACAGTTGATTTTATGTTTCAACTTTTTGCTTTCTACAACAACAACAACAAAAAAACACAAAATGAGAGAACTTCTTCTAAGTGCAATACAGTTGCTTGAATATTATAGACTTTTATATGAAAATAAACTGTTCTGAAATAGTTGCTTTGAATGAACAACGACATGAAAAATAAAACGACAACAACAACAATAAATTAAGGTGAAACAGAAAAACTGTTTTGAAATTTTAATCAAAACTTTTCATTTAGCACAAAAATAGGCGAGAAATGTGCTATGTAAGCAATTTTATATTGCAATATCGTCTTATTTGGAATCTTTCGAAATATCGATGATCTAGAAAATTCCGTCAGTTTCGTACTCATTTCATCCGTTACACCGTTAGATGCATTCGTTCAGGTTTTTGATGTTGCCATATGATCGTGAAATGCAATAAATAAATCGTTTTTTTTTTTGCCATTATTCAAGTGTATTGCACTAAGAAATCATTGTTCCCGTTTTCGAAATCGGCGTTTTTCTTTTGATTTTCTCAAATCAAAACCGTAAAAATCGAAGAAATGTTGATTGTCACAATTTTTGAATTGCAAAACAATTTCTTGAATTTGACATACATTTTGTTTTTAGGATCTTCAGCGTCACCGTCACCGCGTCAAATTCATCCAGCATCAAATAGTCCACGTCCAGAACTAACTACAATGACCAATGTAAATGTTTTAGATTTACAAATGAATTCACAACCACCGACATTACAACAGCCATCCGGCTTATCGCGCGAATCAGACGATGACACGAAAAAAAATTCGCGCACCGAAAACTATGATGAAAATGAGTCAATACAATGGTAATTTTAATGATAAAAACAATTAGTTTTTTTTTGTAAGAAACAATTTTGATCAGAAGTTCCCATTCAGAACTGCACTAAATGCATCATTTTTTTTTCAAATGTACTTCTCCCATCGAAAAAATAAAAATAAAAGCAGCTACAGTAATCAGCAACAAGGATTCATACCGAAATTAGAATTTACGGATGAGCAAATTTTAAGATTGATCGGAGCAACTGGTGATCAACAAATTATCAGTCGTGAATATATAAACGGCGAACACCATATATTAACTCGCAACGAAAATGGTGAACATATCATAACACGCATTGTAACGGTAAGTGAATACATGCAAATTTATAGTAAAACTTCTCAAAATTGTAAAAAAATTAAGAAAAACGTAGTTTTGTTTCAATTGTATAAGATATCTTGCATGCTTGATTTGAAGTAGATTTTTCTATAGTAAGTCATTGAAATTGTTTGGTTATTTTAAAATGGTGCATTTTAGCAAACAACGACCGAAGAATCATCGCATGCTCAAGAGTCACAATCGTCACAAAGTGAAACACCACAAACTGCGCAAAAATTAATCGAAACCGATATTGAGCATCAACAAACCGATGGTGGTGCTACCGAAATTGTTTATACTCCAAGTGCCAATCCGATTGCAACGTCTGTATTGCAATACACTGATACCAGTAATAAATTGTCATCGGCTGTACCAGTCGATGCAACAACAACAAATGTTCTCATTTCGTCGGCCAATTCGCCGGTCATTGACGGAACAATTGATGAAAATAAAGGAAAAGGTGGCCATATTATTTATACGCATGGTGATAAAACCTATGTGGAAACGGTAAAAGATAATCACATTTATGATAATGGAAAAGTGCCAATTTATGCAACGGCTGCAGCTGATGATGCCAAACAACAGCCGTTGGATTTGATTTATGAAGATGGTGGAAAAACGGTCATTTATACAACAAGCGCTGATCCGAAAAGTCTTGAATTGTATGCGGGAAATGAATTGAATTTATTAGAAGGACCACATCAAGTCATTGTACAGGGGCCAAATGTATATGTTGTTGCTGCTCAACCGTCACTGGACACTGAAATAGCCACCGTATCCCAGCAAAATCATTCACAACAACAACAAAGGTAAGTTTTATTCAATTTAATATATTCGAAATGATCGGACCGAAGAAAAAAGGAAGATGGAATAAAAAAAAATGCCCATTTGATTTTGAAAGGATTGAACTTTAACATTGAGCTACATCCTTTTCGATTCGATGAAACAATATACGAACCATATGTGTAGGGAATAATTCAGGTAAAGACAAAGGATAGACAGAGAGAGAAAAAAAACGACTTAACTTGAGAAAATATTAGTTACTCTTGAATATTTGATTCAAACGGGCGCTGACAAAATTTGATAGTAATCATTTTTTTTCTGTTTTGGTTCACTTCAATGCAAACAACATTTCATTTATGAATATAATGTCACAGTTTTATATTGATGACTTGCATTGAGCATCTTATTTCACATCATTTCGACAGACGTTGTTCTTGGGAAGATACGTCTCTCGATACGATTTTTTTTATTCACCCTCTCTTCCTCTATGTAGAAACGTCATCATTAGTTTGGTTGAACATCCATCATGAGAAAAAAACGAGTAAGCCTGCATATGAGAAAAATGCCTGCATTTCATAAAATGCATAGCACATCAGTGGTGAGCAAACATCCAATGGTAGTGTGATATAAACAAATAGACATAGTACAGCTCCTGTATAGAGCGTTCGGGCACACACACATACACTCACAAATCCAAGACACTCTGCGTGCGTTATTTGATAACGATAACGGTTTTTGAATGGATTAAATTAATAATTCCCAAATGACCGTTGCACATTCATAGATATTGTTATTATGGTCGGGAAATTTTAATCGATTTCTCATACAGCAAACTAAAACAACACACATTTATATATACATGTTTATTTATTTTGTAAAAGGTGAGCGCATGTTTCGTGTTGTGAGAGATGACTGACCACTGCAAAACCCGCTTATTCGAATTCTATCATATTTTAAAAGAGCCCATGTTTTTTTTTTCATCTTTCTCGCCATATTTCTCATTGAATGCCCGGTCATGTGTCACTTTAGCCAACAATAGCCAACACATTTACATTTGCCGTGGTTTTGCAATGGTGCATAGAGTATCAAGTACACACAGTCCAAAGAAGAAGTTTGCACTAAGTTAAAAATTAACTGTTCGCTAAATTAGTATAAAACAAACACAACGGGATATCTAATCGCGCGTACACGGCTTACGATATCACAGTATATACACCACAAACCGCATGAATGCGCACATTTGCAATGTGTGCAATATGCAAAACGAAATACTTATCTGCCTAAAAATCACAATCGCAATCTTTTCCGGCATTCTTCGTACAAATAATTTGAATAGGTAAAGTTGAACAAACTGCAACCATTCGGACGAACAACAACATGCTAACTGCATCGTTCAAAAATGACGACGACAACGATCATCGTGTGCAGCAAATCACGCCAAATTAAAATGAACAAAACAAAAAAATGTACAGAGAATTTCATTTTCCATTCTTATCAATCGCAAATATATTTTAATATTCAGCGGCAGTGTAACGAATTGCCGTGTATTGTTTATTTTGTATTGTGAGAACGCTTTTTATGATGATATGAAAAAAAAAACAATCTAAAAAATCCAACGAAATAAGAATTTTCAATTGTAAATTTGTCGTCTGGATCAATTATATAGCACATTCAAATTTCAAAAGAAATCTTACAATCATAAACAATTGAAAACGAACGGCCCAAGACAGAAAACATAAAGTGCTGTCATCGTTGGGCGATGAAGTGAATGAAAATTGATGCCAAACGGTAAAATAATGTGTGATCCAGAACAGTGTGCATGTGTCGATGGTATTTGTCAAAAGGACGTTCAAGCTTGATCATGAGAAACATCAAAAATAATCAGCAATGATATTCGATAGCAATCAAGCAAACTCAAATGGCATAGTCGCACCTCACACAAAGTACAATCATTTGCTACATAAATTCAATTGAATTCTCCAACAATTTGCATTCATCTCGTTTCGATTTTGCTGCTGCTACCTCTCTCACTCTTTCACATTCTCCTGACAAATTTTGCATATATTTGCTTTAAATTTACATTACTCTCAAGCACACACACACATGCGCCTCTAAATACATTTCCTCGTTTCGGTTCATATTTGCCAAAATGTCTATCTTATTCGTGTCTGGCGCAAATCGTACACAGAAAATCGATTTGTCCACTGCAAACATGCGATTTGTATATTGTTTCTGACCGATTTAATGGATAAGATCAAGTGAATCATGTTGCACCAATATTGGCTCTTTCGACGCGCTAACTCGTTGAATTCTTTGTTCTTTTCGATTGGTTTTGCATACATGCACAAGCACAAGCACACGATGTTATATCAATCCTTATGATATGTCACAAAGTTGGCGTGAGTGCTTTTTAATCAAACCATTCACATGATTGTGTGTGTTTTTTTTTTCATTTTGCATTTGCATTTGTGCATTGCGAAATTAAATACGATGATGTTTTAAAGCAAATGAACAAAATGAATAAATAGATATGTTGAAAAAGCTTTGCGATAGAAAATTTTGAGCAAGAAAAGAAAGAAACTTTACATGACACACACACACAATCAGCATATATTATTTTCATCATCATCGTCGTCGTCGTCGTCGTTGTCTTCGTTTTCGTTTTCCCTCTCATGTCATTGTGATGTGAGCGCACAATTTCTATATATTGTATGCAAAATGTGCAGTTATTCACATCAAATTCGAAACGTTAAAATGCAACGAAAAATAATACAATAACACGATCCTTTGAATTCGATAGGTAATTTTGTATATTAACAGCATAACCAAATTCAAAGCAAAGCAAATCGCAAAACAAAAGCATTACATTGTAAAACCCATGGTTGGTTTTTTTTTTTGTGAAAGAAATGAAAACGGCACGCAAAATGCGAATTCCGGAGACAGGAATACGACTTAAAAATAACGACTATTAAAAATAGTTAGGTTGCGTTACACCTTGTTGAATTGCACAATAAAATTATATGGCCATTAAAATAATGTAAAATTCACAGTTGGTTGTTTATATTCCTTTGGTCGTTTGGGCTATGTGTGCAACTGATTGTTGATGCAATGCATTGCACATGCTGCTGTCAGAATAGATTCCTTTCCAATGTTATCGCGCATAACACGGAGACTATGTTTTTTTTTTTCGTTTTTTTTGTGAACGCGCGTAAGTTATGCTTTTCTCCTTCCTCTCTGTCTTTACATTTTTGCTTTCTTCAAACATTGTAGGCTTTTTGTTTTTCTTCTTATTTGTTTTGCCTTGATCAATTGCGTCCCGTGTTTTTCACTGAATTGCACGCATAATACACAGACACACGAAGATGAACGACAAACGTGAAGGAAAGGCTCCCCGTCGAATCAAAATACAATTGAATGTTCAACATTGTGATAAAGATTTTTTTTTTGCCAAACGTGCCACGCTCAAATTCACAGAAATGACAGACACAAACAAACACACACACACACACATTCGAATTTTCCGTTATTGAAATCATTCGATGGGAGAGAGTTTTAAAATAAAATGCTTGACGCTTTAATATTTAATAGGCACTTCAGTCCAAATAAATCAATTGTCTCAGTAAATAATACATAGACATCTATTCTTTTTGTTGCGATTGGAAAAAGTCACGCCGGGTTTTCCTCCTCGATTGATTCGAGTGCAAATCACAACACAAATGCAAATACGATTTCACCTGTTGTGTTGCTGATTTCAAAAGCGAACTGAACCTTACCTATGGTGTGCAAATCATACGAGTATAACAAAAAATACACTTTGATAACTTGAATATTCCGTTCGATTTATTTGACTAATTTACAGATAAATCTAAACTTTGTCGAGAAACTAAATTCAAACGCAGTGTCAAACATGAAGTATGTGATATTGTCTGAATTTTAGTGTTTTGAACAAGTAGAATATGTAAAATAAATAAGTTTTATCAATTGTTCTCTAATTATGTGTATCAATAACTTTGGACAAAGAAATATCTGGCCAAAAATTTCCATTTCTGTCACACTTGTGACCCACACACGAAAAGTAGTTAAGAATATTGTAGGCTTAAAATTGATCGTATGGTATCTTAAAATGATCAGCAACCTGTTGTGTGTGAATCGTGTATGAAATGTGTTTTTATTTTCATTCTCACTAAATGCACGATTATGGCGATATGCTGCGAGCGCGAATGATCTTATTTTTCATGAAAATCCTCTTACTGTCCATGTTGCCTCTCACCTCTGTAACTGAAAGAAAAAAAAAAGTAAAAAATATAATCGAGTTGATGGACAGAAAAGAGTCATGCTCATATTTTTCAAAATGCGTACACAATATAAGTTGATGGACGTGTCGGTGCCGGTGCCGGTGCTTATGCACACTGCGTTCAGTTTGTCACAATCGACAATAAATAGTCGCATGATTTACGTAAATTCGCATTGAATGAAAAAGATTATGATGATTTGTGCCACATGATTCGAAATGAAAATGGCAAAAGTCTTTTCGAATGGAAGCGTTTTTTTCCCTTCATATATGTGTAGTATAAGTTTATAATTAAATTTCGCTTGTATGCCATTTAAAAAAAAAGTAAAAACTGAAGAAAAAAATATTTTATTTGGTTTTTTTTTCGTATATTGCATCGTTTGCAATGTGGCAATGCAATATGCGCCATGAGTGTACACAATTTTTATTTTCTCATTCATTTCGAAAGCCCAAGTCAATAATCCAAGCATTTTGGACAGTTTTGATGTGTGTTCACATGTACAAACGGTTAACCTGTACATAATCAATCTTAAGAAGATAATTAATCAATTTGTATGGATAAGAAAGAATTCGATGGCAATGCAGTTGTAAGCTTGCAAGCGTGCGCGCGTGAACAAAATGATGAAGAGAAAAAAAAACATATCATTTTTTCGACATGGAGATTTGCGTGCAATGTTGACGATGATCATCATCATCGACGAAATTGCGATGGTAAGAGAGTAACAGTGCGCACCA